ACCCCCCGCCTGCCCCATGATTGTTGCTGGGACACAGCATCGTCTCTCCTGCCTCTCTCAGGCCTGCACCCCCGCAAGAGTGTGTGCTCAGCCACCTCGGGCTCCCAGCCTCCGATGCCAGCTCGGCCTCCATCGCTGCCGCCCCTGCCCCTGCTGCCACCACTGACGCCATCCCAGGGGGACCCCCAGCAGGTCCCGCGGCCTGCCCGGCACACACGACCTCTGCGCCTCGAGTCCCGAGCCAGCATGCAGCCTGCCAACCCGTGAGCCCTGCGTCCCTCAACCCTCCCTTCATCCCTCCTCTCCCCCTGCTGGCAGAGACTGGGCCCTGAGCTCAGCCTGAGAAGGGTGAAGGGGACCTGGACATGAGTGAAAGGCCTCCATAAGGGACTGATTTTGACTCAGTGGCTGTTTTTGTTTGTGTGTTTTTTTTTTTAAGTTTATTTATTTGAGAGAGAGACAGAGAGTGAGCGAGGAAGCGGGGCAGAGAGAGAGAATCCCAAGCAGGCTCCACGGTCAGCTCAGAGCCTGACGCGGAGCTTGATCTCATGACCGCGAGATCATGACCTGAGCTGAAATCAAGACTCGGACACCCCTTAACTCTATACATACATACACAACACAATCCTTTTTTATCCTGCACTTCGTGGAGAACACAGCTCTCTAGATTGAATTTTCCACTGAGCCAACATAATTCCTTGACCAGTCTTCAATACAACAGCTAACATGCTTTTGAAAACAATCACTTTCCTTTTTTTATTTTGCTGAAATGATTCTATCAGAATCAGTTCCTAGTACAGCTACTGCCGACGTATGTTTTCTTTGGGGGCCGTTATTTCTGACCAGACCACTTTTCTCATGGGAGCCAAATATTACTGTGTGCCTCCTTTTGTATTTCATGCTGATCCTTCCCACCGGTCATTATAGTCATGCATTGGATATTTTTAAAACCTGATTGTTGATGTTTACGTTTTGGCCAGTCCTCGAGGAATTGGGAGCAGAGGCCCCTGGAACGCCCTGGGCTGCCCTTTCCCCAGGGCCAGAATCCTGCTCGCCTGTTTGACGTCCTTCTGTTTCTTCCGGGGGGTGACTGCCCATACTCTTGGTGGAGCGCGGAGCAGACTGGGAGGTCACGATGACCTGGTCTGGCAATTTAGTGGGCAGCCCAGGACCGCAGAGGGCGCGCGCCTGCCTTCCAGCACGGTGCACGCCCGGCTTGCTTGCCCTCCTTGCCGCTCTCCTTCTCTTCCTCTCCCTGTCCACTCCATGGCTCTGGCTAGTTGCGCCCACTATGCTTTTCATACTTCTGACACGTCTTCCACATTTCACAATCTCTCCCTGTATGGTTTTGGGGCATGACTCCCCCACCCCACCCCACCATGCACTGGAGGCCCTGCGGAGGGCGGCTGAGTGGGCAAGGGAGTGGGGGGAGGGAGCTGCCCAGGGGTCTGCTCTGGGGGAGCCAGAGTGCTGGCATGGAGTGGGAGCCCTGGACCTGGAGGCCATCGGAGTCTGGGAATGCTGCCTGCCTACCCCCTTCCTGATGGTCTCCCGGCCGTGTCCCCAGCTCCTCACCTGTGACCACTCCCAGCCCCTGACTTCTCTTTTCTTTCTCCAAGGACTGTGTCTAAATGAGGCCAAGCTTTTCCTGACCCGGGTGACTTACCTGTCCCAGACACCCTGGGGGGCACCGGCTGGTGCAGTCCTGGACCCTGCACCCACCCCCGTATCACAGATGAGTATTTTTGGCACGTTCTCCCCATAATAAAATCTTTCACTTTTTTGACCGTGGATGAGGGTGACTGGCCTGGCACCCCCTGCAGAGGGGGCCTTGTCTGCCCCACGTGGGTGGGTGGACCTGCTGGTCCCTACTCAGGCCCCCACCCCAAGGTCAACCTCCCAGAGCCGCTGGCCAGAACCACCCTGGCTGAGTCCCAGCAGAGAATCAACAGCAAAGCTTCTTGCCTCTGCCACATTTCCCACCACGGCAAAGTGTCCTGAGCCTGCCCTAGCCCTGTGTTCTGGGAAGATCGGAGGTCTGGGGGCAGGGGTAGTGATGTGATTGGCCCAGGTTTGCTCAGGGAGGCCTCAGCTCTCCGGCGCCCGGCCAGGAGCTGTCCTCTTTGGGTGTTGCTCACGGGTATGAGGTCCCCAACTTCCATCACCTCCCACGTCAGGAAAGAGAGGTGCAGCCCGGACTCCGGCAAAGCGTCCCATGCCAGGCTTGTCCCCTGCAGCCCTGACCCTCAGGCACCCACACAGGCAGGATTCTCAGAGCCTCCTCTCCATCGCCGCTGGCCCCCGCAAAGCTGTCTTCCCAGCCATTTCTCAGATTTACAGAGGGAATCGTGCCTGAGTTGGTTCCTGTAGCTCAGGCATTGAGGAATGAGGCCCAAGGAGGTCACTGTGTAACCATTTGCCCCCGACAGGCTCCTTGGTGTTTTGGAAGGTGGGGATACCCAACAGCAGCCAGCCGGGAGCGATGCCGGAGGATGACAGTCCTGTCCCCCATAGGGGTTGTGGGGGAACAAGCCAGCTTTTGGTCTGGTCCCAGATGGGAGCTGCAGGCAGAATCCTTGCCCCTCCCCTCTTCCAACCCCAGAGGGTGGGGCCTGCAGGGAACTGGGAGGGAGGTGCTCAGGAAGTAGCCACCCCAGGCCAGCTGGGAAAGGTGCCTGGGGAGCAGACAGAACCAAGATGGGGTCAGCAGAGTGGGAATCTCAGGAGGTCCTGGGTTTAGCCTCCTCCTCTGCCAGGGGGACATGGTTCCTGGCCTGGGATGCAGCGGCCGTGCCGGGCTGGACCAGGGGGAAGGGAACCAACCGTGCCAGTCATGCGGGCTGGCCTGGTGTGGGGCTGCAAAATGAGTTGGGCAGGAGGGGGAGAGAGGGGCCTCTTGCCAAGCGGAGGGTCCTGCTTTGAGGGGCTGCTGGAAAGGAGATGCTGACTGACGACCACCCTGCACCCCCAACACGGCCCACAGCCCACCGCTGCAGGTGAAAGGGTCACTGAACATTTCTACCTTCCAAAGACGACGAACTCCATGACTCTAAGGTATAAACAACCAACGAGAGCCGGTTCCCAAGGCAAGTCGCCAACAGCGGAGAGCTGAGGTGCTGGAAGGGCGGGCCTTCTGTGCAGGGACCTCCTCCACTAAAATCAGCGCACACTGGTGTCCCTGGCTTGACCCCCGACTCGCTGCGGTTCTAGGGGCTGTAGGCAGAGAACCACCAAACCAACACACAACCGCCAGAGAAAGGCTTCTTTTCGCAGTCCCCCTCATCTTGCTTCCCCAGGATCCACGGAAAACGACCCCACCAACACGTGCAGCTCTTATCCCCCAGAAGAGGAGAAACGGCCCCCGAGAGCAGAGCAGATCGCTGCCATCGGGTTCCCAGCACCTCGTGCTGTGCCCCCGACACGCCCTCGGCCAGCCTGGGAGTGGGTCTGAGAGGACCCAGCGCCCCCCTCCCCTAAAGGAGCTGAGTTCTCCTAAGGCTCCTGTGAAACACATATCGCCCAAACATAAGCTGTGGCTAAGCAACCAGAGACCTTCCCAAAGGCAGGAATTGCAAAGAACCTCGCATCAAGAGATCTCCTTTTGTCCGGCACAGGCGGCCTCCCCAGCACTGGCCCTGGGAAGTAACCAGCCTCAAAGCACTCATCTGTCCTCAGAGGAGTCCTGACATAAAAGCCCCTCAGAGACCTCCAGGGCCGTGGCAGCCCTGCCCACTGCCGGGCTCGGGGGCCGGCCTTGGGGACAGCATGCTTTCCTGAGGCCGGCCACAACGTGTTCTTAGAGAACCCCGGGAACATCCCTTTCATCCGAGAGAATCCGAAGAACAAGCCCCTTTTTTCAGCTGTCTCAAGGAGGAGCCCTGCCTGCCCACAGAAAGCGTTTTAGCGTCTCCATCTACCAGGTGCCCCCCTCCGTCCCCGCGGAGCAGGGCTTTTACTTCTGAAGCTCTTCCTGGTGAAAAACAAGATCCCCTCCAGATCCCGATTTGGAGACAGGAACTGGACACACGTCTGTGGCCAGTGGAGGGGGCTGACTGATGACAGGCAGGCTGGCTGGGTCCCCCCTCTGATGGTCAGCTTCAGCCCGTTGTGACCTCGCGGGAACCCGGGCCAGCTGTTTATTTCCAAGATCGGCCAGAAGTGAGACTTTTTGTGCAGACTCCAGTGATTAAATGTCGGCAGGCCATCCTGAGAGAGATGGAGCATCGTTTGAGCCAAGCTGCACATGTCAGGGGACTATGGGTTTGCAAAGCCCCAAATTAGCATGCCCAGGTGCTTTAACGGCAGACCGGAAAGATGCACCCACTGCTCATCACCTGGGGAGGCTAGACCATCCCACGTGCTGCCACGTCCACTCTTCAGGAATGAGATACTCGGAGCTCAAATTGTCCTTTCAAGCAACTTCAAGGATGCAGACAGGGTTTTTTAGAGCAGAACTTTGGAAACAGTCATTTGAGCTCAAGTCTGGCAGGCAGGTAGGGGGTGACCATGCCCAGAAGACGCTGGGCTTTTAGGTGACAAGGCCAGGTCCAAGGAGGTGCCAAGGTGGACAGCCAAGGATGGCTGTGTCTGTTCCCTTCCACTCATGCACCCAGTACCTTTGCTTTTCAGCCAACTTACACTTTGAACATGTTAATAGACGGTTACGGACTCGTTCGACTTTGCTTCTGAGCTTCCAGGCTTGGGAAAGTTGAAGAAGGTTCCAGGTTCTCTGTTCCCACCTCTGGCTTCCCTTTGAGTTTGGCCCACTTTTACAGCCTTTCCCTTGCCCGGGGGGATGTTCAGACCAGGGGATCCTGGCACACCTGGCAGGGCCTCTGCATTGCTGGAAAGTACTAGAGCCCCTGGCCCTAGCTCCAACCCTGTTCTCTGCCCCCTCCTGTCCAGGTACCCACCTTGGCTGAGGCACTTAGGGAGAATCAAATTCCTGGGCTCTCCTCCAGAACAGTTGTCTCAAGCACCCAGGGGAACTTCACGCCCCACAAACTTGGGAGTCACAAGGCTGGTGGCTCCCAGTTGCTGTGAGGGGGGGCGTGCTGAGGCTCCGCATCCCAATCACCTGAGAGCTGTTTTATTAACAGCTGTGACGCTCTGTTAAGTTCACCCTTTCAACATGTACGATTAAGTAATTTTTATTCCCAAGCCGATCAACCAATAGCCTGGGGAACGTTTAAAATTATACCGTCGAGCCTTCCCCCCCGAGACTCTGATGCCGTGGGGTCTGGGAATCTATGGTTTGTCTTTTTACGGAGCTCCCAGGAGGCTCTACTGTGCAGCCAACCATGGGAACCACAGGTCTAGGAGACATTCTGCCATGTCTACAGACGTTTTTGGTTGTCACAATTGGGAGATGCTGCTGGCGTCTAGCGGGTAGAGGCCAAAATGCTGGTCAATATCCCACAGGGCACAAGACACCCCCAGCAGACAGTGAGCCAGCCCCAAATGTCCACAGTGCCCAGGTTGGAAAGCCATGGCCTACAGGAACTCCCAGTCCTTTCTGGCCTGAGGTGACCACCTGCGACCTCCAGGCACAGCCCATGGCAGTCCCCCAGGAACAGAAAAATGCACCTCACCTCCAAGAGATCAGCACTGAGTAGAGATGTCGTGGAGGAACATTTCTCAACGTGGAGCTCGAGGTCCTGCACCTCTAACAAGCTCCCAGGTGGTGCTGCTGGTCTGGGGACCAGACCGTGTAGCCGCCCAGGGTAGAGCCTCCTATGTCTCCAGGAGTGCAAATTCTAGATGGAGCCCTGGCTCTCTGGTGCCTCTGACACAGTCATCATTCCCTGGGGCAGCCCAGGCGCACTCACCCCTCCGCAGCAGGTAACCCATAAACACATACTTGTCTGTGCATTTCTCCCACCACTTGAGGGAGGTGTGGCAGTTATCTGAGAATTTTCTCTCATCAAAAAGAACAGAGCAGCAGCAGTAGCGAAGATTCAGGAGGGCCCAAGATGTCCTCACTCTTATCCATCCCGCCCCTCCCTACCCTCCCCACACGCACCCCAGAAACAGCTGTGCCCCCGCCTCTGGACTTCAAGAGGAAGGCCCTTAGAAGGGTGGGTTTCAAGATGAGGACACAACTCCAAGACCTAAGCAACAGCTTGGGCGGGGGCCCAGTGGTCAGTCTTCAGTGACACCCAGAGGGTACAGTCAACCAGGAGCCTGTCCAGGGTCCAGCAGGGTGGAGACAAAGCTGGGGAGGCCAGGGAGCAGCAGTGGCGACACCAGCACAGGAGCATCCTCATCCCTGGGCGCAAGGGCAGGACTGCGGTGAGGAGTGCAGAGACATCAAACAGGAGACCTTCTGCAACAGAAGACACTCTCCAACCCAGTCATCATCCGCAGAAGGGGGCACCTGAGGGGCTGGGCGCCAGGTGGGCCATCCTAGGTTAGGGAGTGAGATCTGCCTCTACTGAGGATTGGGCAGAGACCGTGGCCTCCCTCCTTCCCCAAAGCCCAGTCCCTCACAAGGGGTGCAAGGCTGAGGCTGCCCTGGGAACCGTATCCCCCAGCGTGGGCAGCTGTGGGGGGAGGGGGAGGGGACAGAGTGGGGCATCCCTGGCTTCTCCCTTGGGGTGAGAGCAGGTGTCTGTCCCAGCCCAGCTCAGGAGCAGCCCGGGATCCCATCTGCTCTCCCTGGTTTGCCGGTCTCCTTAGTGACAAAAGGTCTGAGTTGCAGGTTGGACTCTGCCCTGGGCTTGTCCTGTTCCTGTCACGAGCCCCCACTGGCTCTGCGCAGAAGCCTGCTATCTGACCACGGGCGCTGTGGTCTGCGGCTCCCCAGGGGAGGGCCCTGCCCTACCAGGCATGTTTGCTGGAGGTTGGGCTTGGAGTGTCCAGCCTGCAGCCTGCAGCCAGCCATTGGGGCCCTAAAGACACACAAAAAAAGGTCCTTATGTGAAACCCAAGCAGACTGGAAGGAGTTGTTAGCCCTGGAGGTCAGGATCAGTCCAGCCGGACAGGGGAAGGACGGGCAGGAGGGCTGGGATTCTGGGAACACTGGCCAGAAATGAACTTCCTGGGAAGAACCTTGGATGGGCAGGAAGATTCCAGAGCCACGTTATGGTTGAAAAGACAGCAAGAGACAGCAGCAGTGTGGAGCCAGGCAGGACTGGGGGGGTGGGGGTGGGGTCTGGGCTCTGTCAGTGCCCTGCCTCTCCACATGGAGCCAGCTGGCAGCAAAGCTTAGGATAGGAGGCAAGACCACAAAGCCTGGTGGTAGTTTGAACTCTTTTCTTCTCTTTTGTTAAAAGGGGGAAGGGAAAGGGTGTGAGGTACCCCCGGGCTCTGGGGGAGGCATGCAGGCAGCCCCAGCAGGCAAGCGCTGGGGAATGGGTGGGAAGAGTCCTGGAGTTTCCCACAATTCTTTTCTCTGCAGGGAACAGCAAGGCTGGCTGACAAGGGGGTGGGAGAGAGGGGCGGGGCCCTGGG